TTGCATTCCAAATCAGCATGTGCCGCATACATAGGAATATACAGACATATCTACACCTTGTGCTCAGAGGCTTCGTGTTGCTTGTTCCAAATGGAATGAGGTAGAAAAGTTTAGGGAGACCTTAGGATCTGGCAGGATTGGGAGCTAGAGAAGCACTTCATCCCAGGAGGGACCTATGAAGGGAAAGCACCAGGCACAAGGATTAACATTTCCACGTTCTAAATATGAGGGTACTTCAAAAAGTCCATGGACAGATTCAATTTATCTTTCAATTCTATTTTTACATGAACTTTTTGAAGTACTCTCATAAAGAGGCAAAAAGTAGAAAGGGGCATTAGGCATTAATCTATTAAATTACTATTAATTTTAATATTTAATTGTGAAGCTGATTTTCCTTCTCAAGTACTAGAAGGAAAGATAGTATAGGTAATTTAAATAAGTAAATATAAATTTTATCTCAAGCTCTCTTTTAGTCTTTCTGCTGCCAGGAATAATGGCTAATTTTTGCCCATTCTATAATGATTCAGTTTTTTCTGGGGGAGGTAAGAGTTAGAAATAAAAATATCCCAAAACTGTGTTCAGCAGGAAGGGGAAAAGCATAAACCTGAGTTACTAACCTCCTACTAACCTGCTCCCATTCTACTAATAACTTAGACTTTCCGACAAAAATAGGTATATTGAGTTAGGATTAAGTCATGGGAAAATAAACGAGTTAAAAAGGAATTAACTTAAATAGTAGCCAATCTATTTTGGCAAACCACAGACTAGTTTTGTATTTAAACATAAACTACAGAAAATAATAGAGTTTTTCTTTTTCATGAAAATCAGGATTACAGCCCATGAATACCAAGCAGTGGTTCAAAATGCAAAGGAACTCATTTTATGAATGTTTTGCTTTTTCTATTTAATTTTACTTTTACTCTCAAAAGTGTTCATGGTAGATGGAAAAAAAATTCCCCTTTACCTGAGCCAGCCTTAAATTATCAAAGCTGGCTCTCTATGCAACCAAATACACTAGATAATTGCTTACCCTTTGCACAGACTATTTTGGAAGCAGTAATTCTTTCTTACAGCAATTTTAAACCACTCGCAGACTGGTACAAGTTTCAGTTCTGGGGCACAACAGGAATAAATGGGCTTATACTGAATGAAAATGCACTTTTTTTGAATCAGTACAGTCATCATTAAAATGTTCTATTTCCTGCTTTTACTAATATGTCTCAAATTCACACTTCCACACGTGTCATTGTGACGAGCATCCCAGGCTTTAGTTCTGGCACTCTTACAAACCAAAAATGTCTGCACGGAATTCATAGTAGATTGTGTTACGTTTTCAGGGAAGATGCATCCCAGAGTGATGGGAGTAAAATCGATCAGCTAAAGGGTGGAGACGTTTTCTCCAGGATACGTCTAAAGGAGATGTAGTCACTCACAAGACGCAGCCACATCTTCCCACCTTACACAATATCATCAATGCAGAAAAGAGCGTGACTGGAAAAAATTATTACCACTTTATTGAGATATAATTTATATGCCACAAAAGTCACCCATCTTATGTAATACTAAAACTGATGAGTTTTAGTATTTACTGAGCTGTGCAACCACTGCCTTGTTTTAGAATGAATTCATCACCTTGATAAGGTCTTTCATGCTTCAATGGGAAAATTTAAAGTTAGAAAAAAAATGTTCTTTTTATGTCTTCAGCTTCTCTTTGTATTACTCTTGTTTCATGCCCTTTTTTATTCAACAAAGATTTGCTGAGCAGCTGTTATGTGTCGAGCACTGTTCTAAGCACTGGGATTCACAAGTAAACAAGGTGGCAAAAATATCTGTTGGGGTGGAACACATATGCCCACAAATACATATACACACACACACGCACACAAGCACACATATTCATCCTAATTGGATACAAGGGGAAACAGTAAACATTGAAAAGTGGTAGGGTAGACCGTAATAACTGACAGTAAGAAAAATAATGAAACATGGGATATGTGTATTTGTTTCTTTGCAATTTTAGATAAGGTGGCCAAAAAGGTTTTGCATTCCAGTTCCAGGAAGTGCTGGATGCAAACATCTGAGGCAAAAGAGAGTCTGCAGTATTTGCAGAACAGCAGAGGCATCTCAAGGCTAGAACAGAACAGGGAGTTAGCAGAAGGGGAGCTCTGAGAGGGAGAGGAGGTGGTTTGTTGGGTCTTCACAGCTATTGTAAAAAACGTGGCTTCTCCTCCAAGTGAGATGGGGGAGTGGCTGGGACACGTCAAGCATAGAAACATGACATGACTTGGATTTTAGTAGCATCACTCAGCTGGCTGTGTCGAGAATACAGGCAAGGGGCGCAGAAGCTGGGATGTGGATGGAAGCCAGAGCAGTATTCCTGGTCAGGGGACAGTAGCTTGGGTAAAGGCAGAAGCAAACTGACTAGGGAATACATGTGGAAACATAAGTCTGATAGGATCTGAGCACTTACTGGTGGCTTGTAGGAGATGACTAGAGTCAATAATGACTCCAGAATTCTTCTGTCACCAGCTGCTGAAAGAACAGCACTGCCATTACTAAAATGGAAATTATTGAAAGAGACTGCATGAACGGAAAGTCATTTATTCCTTTGGGCATGCATGCATTTCCAAAGTGGGAGTAATTATTTATAAATCAATGAGATGGCTATGCTTAGGACCTTTTCTACAAATAGGCTTTTCTAAGGGAGATGTATTAAGCTAAGGATACTCATCCTTCTCATAGGGTTGCAGTTGAGAAACACAGATAATAAAACAAGGCACAAAAAATTACCTTGTTTCTAACATTAGATTTTCCCAGTAAGCACGAAGGATCTTTTTGGGGTTATGAACTCATTCTAAAACCAGGCGATGATTGTACACTCAGTAAATACTAAAAATCACTGGGTTGCATATACTTTAAGATGAGTGAATTCTGTAGCATGTAAATTATATTTCAATAAAGTGGTAACATTTTTTCCCAGTCAGGCTCTTTTCTGCATTGATGATATTGTTTAAGGTGGGAAGATGTGGCGGCATCTTATGAGTGGCTACATCTCCCTTAGACGTATCCTGGAGAAAATGTCTCCACCCTTTAGCTGACCGATTTCACTCCCATCACTCTGGGATGCATCTTCCCTGAAAACGTGACAGAATTTACTATGAATACTGTGCAGACATTTTTGGTTTGTAAGAGTGCCAGAACTAAAGCCTGGGATGCTCTTCACAATGAGACGTACAGAAGTGTGAATTTTGGGCATATTTACAAAAGTGGGACATACAACAAAATTTTAATGATGACTGCAATGTTTCAGAAAATGGTATATTTTCATTCAATAAAAGCCCACTTAAATTCAGGGGATGGAGCTCTAATTCTAGACCCTTAAGTTGCTCAGATATACTAGGAAGTGTGTGACAGTATGACCTTTCTATTTCCAGTGAGCACCCCCACAACCATCCCTGGGGACTGTCGGAGGACTTCTGCCCAGGTATAAAGGATCTGTGATAGCTGGGCTCTGTGAGGAATCAGGGGAGCAAAGCCACCTGCCCCAGCTCCAACAGGCAAGATGTGCTGCTGCTCTTAGAGGTAATTCAACATCTGTCTCCAGAGGCTGCGAACCACTTCTGTCTGACATCTGAATTTGCAGCCTTGTTCTGAGAACACCAGTCCAGATCCTACAGGCAGCTGAACAGATGGTAGCACATTCTGACCACAATGTGTCTGGATCGTATTTGAACCATGAAACTCAAGGTGAAGAGTTCTCAAGCCTTTTATCGATCACTCACTGTTAATTATTTATTTCACTTGCTCTCTAAATTGTAAAGCCAGCTGTAGACAGAGTCTTAAGATGAGGTTTGACATCTTTATTTATAATTTTACTTTACATCTAGCTTAGTTTGTCTATTTGCCTCCCTGGAAAAAAAAACAAAAACAGAAACAAAAAACCTTCACTTTCATTTTAAAAGAAATGGCTTTTAAAGGAAAGTTAAAAATTGACAACATACACTGCAATAAAATCCAAATATTAAATTATTTTGATTGCAAGTTTTCCACTTGAGACCTACGATAGTACAGAGAAAGTGACAGCAATAATATAAAGTGAGAAATGGACAGACTATCTGAGACATACACATTTTTCTCATCAGAGAACAGACATTGCAATTTATAGCAGCCACTTTAATTAAGCCTCCCCAGAGGAAGGTATATGATTGATGTTATGTCTTACTTTATTCATTAATACCACAATGCATTTTGTTTGAAATAAATCTAAATTAGCTTCTGTGTAAGAAGATAACTCCTGATTAGTAAATGAACAACAGGACTAATCTGAATCTATGAAACCAGATCTTGAGGATTAGTCAAGCAGATGTCTAATTAATTTAGAAGGTGCACAGCCATACAGACACAGTAGAGAAATAAACCTGAAGATATTGTTAATATCTGGTCAAATCATGTCCTTCAACTGTCACAGACTTAACTAACCAGAAATGTAACATACTATTCATCTTATTCCACAGAGGTTTTAAAATAGCAATGAAATAAATACTGAACAAAATTATAGCCATGATTAAATGACTCAGGAGGAGTTTAAATTCTGGATGTTAGGAGATTAATTCACACTGAATTTAACAATTGTTTCAAGAAAGGCTGTATAGTCTAAATTATCTAAAGCTCAGCATTTCTCTCGGAAAATTAATTGAATAATGCTTGATGCAGAATATCTTCAAGCAAAAACACAACAGAAGTTGATGATGGAAGCCCCCTCACTTCACAGTTGAGAAAAATCCTGTTCCATTATCTTCTGTGACACCTTGATGTTAAAAGCCCAATGATGTCCCTAACCGTAAATTTACAGGGTACCTTCAGACACATCTGCTCCCATTCTCCAAGAACAGCAAAGCCACCTGTTGGCCAATCATAAATATGAGTGAGGAGACAATGAATCTGCATTCCATGTGTGCCCAGGAGCAAGGTGAGTGTCGGGGCACAAAAGGAAGACCCACCTTTGGAAGAGCGGAAGTGCTTGCTGGGGGCAGTGAAGCCTCTGGTCCCGTGCACGTTGACAGCAGCTACGCGGAACTGGTACCACCTGCTGGGTCTTATGTCAGTCAGTTGAACCCGCTCATCTGTGGTCTGAGGGGAAATGTCACACAGCACAGACAACATGTCAAGTGGGTGTGTTTAAAAAGAAATACACTAATGCATGGCCAGTGCAACTCAGCCTTGACTTCTCTCTGGATAAGAGCAGCTCATCACACCCAGTAACGAAAAGAGCTATCAGTCATCAAGGAACTTCTGATATTTCACCCCAAAGAGTAAAACATCTCTGGAAGTCAAAATCTTATAACAAATGCATGGGCTGTTATCAAATCTAGTGACTAAATACAGCCTTTGAGGGATTTAATCAATTAAGAATATAGAAGGATAGTGATCATTATGTTACAGACAAGAAAATGAAATCATCTTTAGATTATAGAAAGAAAATGTCTATTTTTTTCCCAATATTGAACAAATGTTTAATTATAACATGGATGATCGTGTGATAGATAACTATAAAACTTGCACCCCATCCAAGGTTGAAAAATTTCACCCCACATCAAATTGTTTTTTGAAATAGCACGTGTCTTTTACACTGCAACATATGTGTGTATTTTAAGTATTCATATTTGTATATTGAATTCCATTTTTTTTTAAATTTATCAATACACAATGTAGTTGATTTTCGTGTCCCTTTATCAATTCCTCCTTTTCCACCCTCCCGCTCTCCCCTCCCCCCATCAACATCATATCTGTTCACTTGTCTTAACAAGTTCAAGGAATTGTTGTGATTGTTGTGTCTTCTTTTTTATGTTTTCTTGTTTCTACCACTAGAATCCCAGGATGTCAAATAACTTTAACAGTCTTCACACCTTTCGGCTGCTTTCAACAATGTTCCATGATTGTTTTCATTGGCAATTCTGAAAACCTTGCCTTAAATTCCGAAAAATAAATGCCTGCTTTCTACATCTTCAACTACACCTAGTGCCAAACTGAGCTTGGCCTTGGGAATGAACCTGGGGAACTCGAACTCTCCCAGACCTCAGCTTATAATAACTCATTAAAAGGTACTGTCTGTAACATTTACATCAATATCTAAAAGAAGCTTAACATTTCTGAGATCAAAGAAAGAGCAAGAACTACTAAGCATGGCTTTCTACCTGATTTGGCTGAATTTGAGACAACTCTTTCAGCTGAGTTCATCATTTACAATTTTAGTTGTGAATTTAAAAAGCTTAAAGCCAGCACAGTGTCCATAGCATTTAGCAGACAAAGAAAAAGAAATTACATGTGGCATTAACTAGCAAAAATAATAACAACGATAATAATAATAACAATTCAAGAGCTTTCCTCTTTCCAAAAACAAGGGGATAAAAGAGATAATCTTATTATCAGTTGCTTTCATAAATTTTTTAAATAATTTGGAAAATTTACAATTAAATCTGCACCATTATTTATGGGAGCATGCCATGTAAATCAAATGGAATTTTAAGCTATATTCTGAGTAGTTTTATTTCTTATTGAAGAAAAATTTTTTTTTACAAAATAGGTATACAATACAATTACTAATTTTATTTGACCAGGCTTTTTTTTTTTTTTTCAAATCTAAGATGTTTCTTTTACATCAAACTTCTCACTTATTTATTTTGGGGTCTTTATTTTATTTTAGTGTTTATCGCCTTGGAGATACTACAATTTAAGGTGAGAATTTTTTCCTATAGACATAAATATGGAGAAATCATCTTAGTTATTGAAATGCCTGAAGCAGTTTCACATTGAGAATTTCTTCTTTTTCTATATCCATGCAGGTTTGTTTTCTTTCTTTTTTTCTTTTCTTTTTTGCAGCTGGTAATCCATTTAACAGCTCTTAAAAAGAAAGAAAATATTTTGCTTTTCTCATCCACAAAACAGTAGAGGAAGTACTGTTGAGATAAACTCTGGGAGAGTTGCTATCGAAGTGGCATATCAGTCTTTAAGTCGACTAAATCAAAGAAGAAAGCACTTAGCAAAGATTTATGAGCTGCTGGCTGCTCCCTCTAAGCAGTTTTGCGATATAAATCTCACTCACTTTTAGTGCTACTAAAGTCCTCAGGTGGGACAAAGGCTTACATGTAGAAGAAATAGAAGAAAACTCGTTTAGATTATTAAATATCAAATTAATCCTAACAGTGTTGCATTTCCCTGACTCTAGTTGGTTTTGAGTTTAGCTGAGGGAAATTCAGTTCTTGGAAAAACTAAATGTCAACAATCAGATTATAAAATTATCTCCCTTCCATGTATATTATGAGCAAATCAAGCCAATTGTCAAGTTTCTGGGTATATCAGTTTACATCTACAGAGCCCATCTTCTCTTCGGCAGACATGCATGGCATTATTTCCACATTTGATTATTTCTATGGTCAAGCTATTTTGACTGCAGCATTCCAAGTTAATTTTATGCAAGTGCATGAAGAAAAAAAAAATCTATGAAGCACTCACCTGGGCCACCGTCTGCCAAGGAGTGGCATCATCCTCACTTGGATGGATTCCATAATTCCATCTTCTTTGTACCACATAGATCACAGGTTCAATGGAAATATTGAATTTCGAGGACCACTTAATTTCCAGCTGTCCAGACTGCAGTTCTGTAAATCGTAACTCTTTTCTGGGCTTCAGGGGGACACCTGAAACAGGACCATGTCAATTAAAACAATCTGTGTGAGTCAAATTGATATTTGCCTTCATAAAAGTGGCCTCTCCAAACTGGGTTTCACATTGGAAGTCTCCTGACAGCAAGTTCAGCCCATCATATCTCAAAAGAGTATTTGCCCCCTTTCTTTTAGCTTTTCCTTTTTCTTTAAAGAGCATCTAAATTGATTCCTGATTCTGAACAAGTCATTTTCTCCCTAGTAGTCTGTAGAGCAACCCTTTCATGTGCGTTCTTCAGAAGAAATCAGGTTACCGGGTTGCTTCAACTGAGGTTAATACAGAGGATAGTAATCGAGTTTCAAGTCATTTTTCCCATTTTTAACATGCTCTGTTTCTGTTGATATAGTCTAAGGTCATCGTACTGGGGTTCCGAGGTTTGCTCTCCTTTCTAGCTCAGGGAGTTTTCCCTTTAAGGAAAAACTTGCAAAGTTAAACCTTCACACGTGGTCAAATCTCACAAGAGTGATTTCCGAAGTGTGAGTCTTTTGGATTCCCCAATTGATTGCTGGGGTCCTCCCTGTAGACTTAATACTTTAAAATTGGAAAATGATGAATTTATAATGTTTGGTTCTGGCAGGAGTGAGTGTATTGCTTCAAAAGTCCCTCACAGGTGTCTCATTTTAAAGTAGTTAATCATTCTGATTTCTTTTTCCCCCTTCGATATATGCAAGTTGTCTGGTGACTGATAGATTTAAGAACCATGTTTCAAAATAGCAGCCATTATAGAAAGAGAAATTTAAAACCAATTTACAACGCTAATAGGATATGTAAAACTGACCAAATTAGAATCCATGATGCCATGATGTTTAATGCCATCAACACCAAGAACAACAGTGACCACCAATATTTTCTGTGGAGATGAGTATTTGCTTAAAGCATTAAAAACTCATGTGAAAAGGCTAGCTCAGAATGCTGTATTTCTTTTTCCATTTCCTAAGTTTAAACAGAGAGGAAATTGGAAAATGTACAAATACCAAATGTAAATAGGAATTGATGGTGGTGGTGTGGCTGAATTTCAACTCATTTTGTTTTGATTTTAATTCATGTTAAGTCTTGTTTGGGGAGATTTTAGAGTCATCGAATATTTAGGTGGATGAAGCTGGATACTTTAAAAATAGCATATTCATGTATGGTCAAAGGTCATTGATTTACAATTTTTTTTTCTAGAGAACACATTTACCATACTTATTTGCACGCTCCATTTTGATTTGCTGATGGGTTATAGCTGTACATTGCCCTTAGTTTACCATAAATTTGTCTCACCAGATTGTTATTGTGACTTTGTGAACAGGGTGAAGAGTTAACTATCTCTGTTCTGAACAGGTGAAGATTAAGTAAGTTGCCTGAAGCTATGATCTGATCTCTGGTTTCCCTCTGAATTCTCTGCTTCTTTCTACCTTTCAGATTAGTAAAAGCGACTTAGAAAGGTAGAGGGGGGGTTTTGATAGATTGCAAATCCCTTGGACATTCTTACTCTAATGTCCTCAACTTGGCTGGTTAGCTAGATCTTCATCAAGTCCAACTTTGTTCCTGTTCTGTCGCTATATGAATGTCATTCAAGCTGTGACACAATCTTGTCTTCTAGGTCCATAATCTTACAATGGCAATTACATGTACTTTGATGACTAAAATATTTCTGCTAAGCAAATGATTCTCCAGTCTACCCCATTGTCTGGCTTGGCTGCAGGCCACATTTCCACCTGACTGCTGAGTTTCCCTGCACAAGTCTCATCTCAAATTCCTCTCCCCAAAATATGCCCCTTCTCCCGTAAT